TGGTGGTGGTGGTGATGATGATGGTGGTGGTGGTGATGATGATGGTGGTGGTGGTGATGGCGATGGTGATGGTGATGTGGTGGTGACGTAGTAATGGTGGTGGTAGATAAACTGGTAATTGATAATCTGGCATGATATAAAAAATATTCAATTCCTGAGCACTTTTCTAGAGGTAAGCGGAAAACTTACCTTTGAAATTCTTAGAAATCAATGCAAAGGAAAAACATTTATCAATTACATAATCCAAGAGGCCATTAGATTCTTCTTATGGTAGAGTTGTTTATAATTTACTGTAGAGCAAGTCCTTTCATCTGATCTTTTATATCCTTCCATTTTGAATCACTCCTATATTTTATCTGATAATTCCACTGTTATTTTTTCCGGTCCTTTCTTTCTATGACCTGTAGTCTCATCGCTTCATTTATATTTTTCCATCTTTTTGTCTCTGGGGGGAGATTTCCCTGACTTCACCTTTAGTGTTTTAATCTCTAAATAGTGTTCTTGTTTTATAATTCTTTCTTTTTCATGTTGTCTTGTTCCTGGTTTATGAGCCCAAAATCTTAACTCTATTAACTGGAGTATTGTTCTTCATTTTCCTTTTGTGCCCCGAATTGCCTTGTTTCTCCGGGTACCTATTTTGTCTGTTCCTTTGTCCGGGCTTTTCTCATTGGAGAATCTGGAGTTCCTCATCTGGTGATGCTTGTTTTTCTCTTTGGGTTTCAGAGAAAAAGCTGGACATTTGATGTCTGTTCTCCGCTGCCGAGTCTATATGGTTGTGGTATGCCCCATTATTTTAGAAAACAGGCTGCAGAGTTTTTTCCTGGGATCCCTACAGGCTGCCTAGTCTATGGATGGGGGAACCGGGGTGCTGAGTGGAGCACTCTGGGAATTTCAGTAACTGTGCTGTATCCCCTTCACATATTCCAGGGAGTGGCTTTCCCACAGATCTCATCAGGCAACAGGTTTCCACCTGACTAGCAGGGCCTGCTCTCCCCACTCAATAATCCGTAACTTCTCTGACTACCTGCCTTTGCCAGCTTCCCTGTGTATTCAAATTCCCTCTCTCATAAAACGGCTAAATTGACTGAAAACTAACATAGCTTTATCATATTGTTAATATTTCCTCCCCAGATACTTCCCCCCAAAATACTTCCTTTTGTAAATATTTAAAACTTATTCTCATTATTTTATTCTTTCAAAAGAACTTTGAGTTATTTTGGCAAGTTTCTCCAAAAATCTTATAGGAATTTTGTTTAGAATTATTTTAATCATGTAAGATGGGAAATTTCATCATACAAAATATTTTTCTCATCCAGGACATATTATGTAACATATTGTTATGGTACATTTCTTGGTAAGTATAATAATAATATTTATATTATTCATTATTATGTTTTCTAAGTGGTTATAGAGAATATAGAGACTGGATTTTTATTTAGTACCTTCATGTTCACCCACTGAATTCTATCAATAATCCACATATTATTTTGATTGATAATCTGGGCATGTTTATATATAATCATATTGGCTGGAAATAATAATACTTTCATCTTCTTCATATTAAGTGTATATTTCTTCTTTCTGTCCTGTTTCCGGAGCCTCCAAAATAACTTTGTAATATAATGGTAGTAATTTCTCATTTCTAACTTTGTTTCGCTGTGGTTTCTCCGTTTATTCCTTGATTACACTTGACAGAGGTGTTTATCTTCTTTAAAAATGAGTTGCTTTGTTTTTTTACTTATTAATGCTACCACTTTTTCCTAATTTTTTAATTTCTGCTTTTATTTATTTTATGTTCTTTCTAATTCCCTACACTGAATGATTATTTATACATTTCTATTTTTTATTTGGTCATGAAAGAATTTAGAGTTAAAAATCAACCTCTCCAGATACCTCTGATAGCTTTAGACTTGTAGTGCCCCCATTTTCATGATTTAAAAAATAATTTGTAATAATATTTGGTGGCTTAAATATTATTGGGGAGCACTTTAATTTTATTGGTAATGCCCAAATAATTGGCTATTCTTTCTCTATGTGTATTATAAAATTTGAATTTTAGAATATTGTGCAACAAGTAGCAATATTTTCTTTGGGGGTGTCTGTAAAGCCAAATTCATGCAACTTTTGTCAATGTTCCGTGAGTACTTGAAAATAAGTACCTACCAGTGTGAGCTTGATCCTTATTAAGTCTCACTATTATCATTATGAAAAGTTGAATAATGGCTCCCAGAGACATCCAGGTTCTAATCCCTGGAATCCAAGAATATCACTTTATTTGGAAAAAGAGATTTCGACAAGGGTGGGTTGAAGAAAGAGTGAAGCACCCATGGCCACGTGTGCAGGGCAAGGGGCTTGCCAGTGAAGTGAGAAGCCATCCTTTGAATGTCGGTGGCTCCCACGGGTCTGCAGTTCAGAAAGCACAGGGCCCTGGTGTGGTGTTGTCAGGAAGAAAATGAAGACCCTCCTCCATTAGGAGTCTTTGGGTTGATATGAAATGCAAGCCTGAATTCTCTGCCTCTTGGCACCTGGGCAACAGGAAGGCGTAATGAGCTGTGACATCTCCATCTCATCCCTTCTGCAGCCACAAGCCCCACACACAGCCTCGCAGCTTGGCCATTCACCGATGGTGCACTCTGAGGCAGGCTCCTTCACTTGTCCCAGTTTCTGCTTCTGGAAAGTCGAGATAATCGGGCCTCCGTCATAGGATTACCGGAGGATTAGATAAAATAGCAAACGTAAGGCGCCTGACGCAGAAAGTGCGCCTGAAAGGGGGATGGCTCCCCGTCACTGTCTTTGAGCCCCTGATGGAGCCCCCGCTACCCCCGAGGTCACCGCAGAGACCGACTGACCTTCAGTAGATCAAATAGGCAAGCCGCAGCTAAACTGAGCATTTGTAAACGCTTTGAACAGGAAACCTGAGATGAGAGAATGTTTGAATTGGCTCATGCAAAAAACAATATTTGCTGGAGGTTGGCTCCTGCCTTATGAATTTTTAACCTCACATAAATCAAACGGTAAAAATGGACAAAGGCTGAGTTTCCTGTGCCAGGACCAAAATAGAAGCCGACTCTGTCTCTTAAACAATTCCGATTATGTTTCCACAATCAAACCATGCTGAGATGAATAGCGGGAATATTTCTGTTTAGGTCCTAAAGTATAATGTAAAATAAATGGGAATCGTCTGTCTTCCCAACATTGAAGTGGCGCCACTGTTTGTTTTTCATTTGCAGAGAGGACTCAAAGGCCAGGCCTGCAAAGGCCATTGTGCGCCCGGGGCAGAATTTTGCTGCTTGGAGCTTACTGCTTTTCCCCACCACTAAATGATGAAGAGAAAGCCCCAGGGGAACGAATCCATGGCAAGGTTTAAAGGGAGTCCCTTTGTAGAATCCTTATGCTGAAAGTACACGCACTTTAAAAGATCCACGAGGCAGAATCTTGTAACTGCAGAGGACAATATTTTAATTAAATATAACGCTTTTATTAATTCAACAAACGTATCTTTAGCAACTCCTACGAGCTACAAACTTTGAAGAATATAAAATCAAGAAGATATGGAAGGACCTGACTTACTATAAGGCAGAAAGAAGCATAAACTCATGACAAGCAAATGTGAGGGAATTCTAGAAGCAGGAGAGACTCACCACAGAAGGTGGAATTGGAGCTGACCTTGAAAGGATGATAAAGGCTTTAACAGGAAAAATGGAGCTGCAGACGCCAAGAAAAGTGTGGCGAGGCTGAAGTGAAACTGGCAATAGAGTGGGGCCAAAAGTGACAGGAGATGGCCTCACAGGTCAGGGACGTACGTGGCTGTGGACAGACCACAAGGCACGTGATGGGTGTAGTACATGTCCCCTGACACGTGAAGGCAGCGGACTCCACAGGGGTCCCAAGACCCACAGCCAAGTGCTTTGTCTCCAGCACAGCACCCTTGGCCAGGCCCCCAGCACCTTGGGTGAGACTGGCCCGGCCTGGTCAGCAGAGGCCTGGGTGGGAGCTCATGCTACATGGAATGTCGGAGCAGGCCACCATGGGAACCAAGCCAGAAGCATGGAGGACACACCACAGCAGCTGGGAATAACTCTGGGCCCCTGACTCTGCCCCCATCCGCTCCCCAGAGCCCTCTGCTCATCAGCGGCCAGCCTTGCCTTCCACTCTTGAAGAACCTCCCTTTGGCTCCTGGCCAGGCTGGAGAATTTTCCCTGGCTCACTCCTGTGTTATTCCTTCAGGCGATGACGAGTAATTACCCACCTACTCCACACGCCATAACCGGGGGCAAGAGATGGGATGCACACCTGGGCCCCAAGCCCCAGCCTTGGGTCTGTAGGACTCTCTCTGCCACCACACATGAACCCTCACACCTGTAAGTCAGAGACAGACATAGGGCACCAGGTAAGAGCGACCCTGTTGGGGAGAAGGTGTTAAGCTGAGGGGAGAACTTGAAATACAATGAAAGTAGACATACAATGGGTTCTCTGACCCTTAAATTCTCTTGGCCTGAGTCTCCTCATTTAAAGGGATGAGGACAAGCTTATCTCATAAGACAAATCTGTGGATTAAATGTCAACTGTTAGGCACACAGAGCAGTGCTTGATAAACACCATGTGCAGGAAAGGTGTTTAGATAATGACAGTTACTTTTGTTATAATCGGGTTGGTCCCATCATCACCACACTGAAAGGTCAGAACACTAGACCTGTGACAAGAAGAACTTCATAAAAGTCTGGGAACTCGGCAGTGTCCTGACGGCACCACTTGTTTCGTCCTGGGGAATGAGTAAGATGCCCTAACAATTTAGGGGGCTTGTGAGGAGGCGTGGGGAGCATGAAGGAAAAGTGAAGGTGGGTTCCTATATCTGATTCCAAAGACAGCCCTGGTGGGTAGGTGAGTGTTGACTCTCTCAAGGAGTTTTGTAGCGGATCTGGGGGAGATGGGGTATAAGGGGTGGGGTGAAGCAGCATCACGGAAAAGATTTGTGAGATCTTTTAAAGGCTAGATGTATACCTCAGAGCCGTACCAGGAAAAACAAAACCACCGCAGGGTTTTCAAACAGAGAGCATGCAATGCAGGGACTTTGTGACAGAGATGGAGGAAGACGTGGAGGCCCAGAAAAGGGATGGAGAGTAACCCAGGGGTCAGCACAGCAGGCAGTCACTGCCACCTAGGCTGTAGGGATGGGGGCAGAGGTGATGTTGTCAGGGCTGGCTGGGACTGGGGAGGAAACCATGATGGGGCTGCCCAGCGGGAACTGAGCTGGGGGTGGGGGGCAGCTGAGCAGAGCTGGGAGCAGTCCCCAGTGTCTCCCTCCTCCTGATGCTCAAATCTTCCTCCAGGGCATCTGTGCGACCAACCCTGCCTGAGATCTAGTGTGCCCGGGCACGAGGCCACTGTAACCCAGAGCAAGCAGGACCTTTGAGCGGGGCCCAATGACACACGGCACAGCCTGAGGTCTGAGGCGTGGACACAGGGCCAGGGGAGGAGAAAAGAAAATACTGTCCTCACATCCTGTCCCCTAGGTGTCAGAGCAAAGCTTAACGGCCACAGTGAGGGGCAGAGAGCTGCCGCCCTGGGGCCCAGAAGCACCTCTGGGAGAATTCACCTGGGACCCAAGAGGGGCACGTTGGTGAGCAGGCCTGCGCAAGGGGACACTGGCCAGGTCTTGGGGTCCACCCACGTGAGCGCGACTGGGGGTCATTCCACCTACCTGGGACCAAGACACTGAAGCCAGAGAATGAAGCTCACATAACCCAAAGGGGCAGGGTGGGAACTGAAATTGGGTTCAGATAACGCGGAAGACCAGGGCCCTCTGTCTACACTTGCCCAGTATGGCAGGAGGCGAATGGGTGTGGGGAGGAGGCTTGCTAAATCCCTGGTGGAATGCTTGCCCTGGAGTTCCCGCCCACAATCAAGCCCCGGTGCTACCTGACTCCACCCCCTGGCCTCCCCCAGCCCCAGGCCAGCACGCTCAGATACCCCCCAACACACACACTCACACTCACGAACACACACTTTGCACACGCACACTCACACGCACACTCGCCTATACACATGTGTACTCACATGGGCTCCCACCCTCTTACACACTTACTCACACGGATGCACGCTCAGACATTCACAAACTCTTGTGTTGCGCCCCTTGCGCTCTCACACACTCTCACAAACTGCAATCCTCCATCCGCCTGCGTGTGGTTAGACAGGTCCCCAAGCACAGCCTCATTCCTCAGGGCTCTCCTGAGGGGAAGCTTTCATGGACCCCCACAATTAGGTCCCTCCCCCCGGGTAGAGGATCACATACCTCTTCTTTAAGCCCTTGTCACAGTCCCAATGTCACCTTTGTCTGTGGGATAGTGGATGGATTTCTGATTCTCTCCTCTGAGCTAAGGTAAGCTGCAGGAAAGCAGGCCCCTTCTGTGGTCACTTCCCATCTGATGCCCCACGATGCTTGGCAGACATTGACTGAATGAATGGGTGCATGAATGAATGAAGCCAGACCCGGCTGGGAGGGAGCAAAAGCCCAGAGGCAGAGAAGTGATGACACACAGAGGGGGGGTGGGCGGTGTCTGTGAAGAAGGGGGCGGTGTTGATTATCTGAAGATCTGAGGGAGAGGCTGGTCTTTGTTTAGGATTTGCACTAAGTGGGTGGGTGGGGGCAGCTGCGTGCCCTGAGGGCTGCAGGTGGGTGGCCACCCTGCTTCAGAAGAGGGAAAGTTGCCCCACCTGAGAAGGAGGGAGAGTGAGGGGGGAAGCAAGGAAATGAGGAGAGGGAGCGGGTAGCAAGGGAAGGGGCTGGGACCAGGCCAGAACAGGGGACACCCCAGGGGCATCAGAGCACCTGCTTCGTGCTTTATGTCCCATTTCTGTAACACTGTCACGCAAGTCCATCTAGAAAAGTCCCAATAGCCTGACTGACCTTATCCTGGTGGTGGGGGAGGGTGGAGAGATAAAGAAGGGACTGGGTTTCACGTTGGGGCTGATGATAAAGAGCCGTGTTTGCGTTTCTGCACCGAGGCTGGGACGGGCAGGGCAGACTTTCCAAGCAGAGGAACAATAATGCCAGTTCATCAAATCTCATGGAAATCAGAAGGAGTGTCTTCCTGGCAAATTTGGTAAACCTGCCCCTACAATAAATTCAATCCAAATGTAAAACACTCAGCAGAAAGTACCAAGTGATTTTTAACTTCCTCATTGGTGTTCCAATGCTTCTGTTTTTACCCAAGATTCCCCAGGACTAGCTTGTTTTGATTTTCCAAATGACTGAGGATGACAGAGCGTCTTCATCTAGCTGAAAAATTGCATCTCCTGCTTTGCGGATCCTCAGTCCTCTCTGAGGCGCCGGGAGAGTTTTCAAACGCTGCGGGGACCTGGGTCTTCATTCCCGAAGATTCAGAGTCAGTGAATCACTCATTGCTGCTGGGCAGCCAGGCTTTTACCAGGCTCCCAGATGCTTCGCGTGTGCAGGGGGGTAAGAGCACCCCAACCTGGTGTTTGAGCCGATGCCGTTTCACCCACAGCCTCACAGCTGCTTAGGCACCCAAACACTTCCCCTGAGAACCAGCTTCGAGAAAGCACACAAACCCCTCAGTGTAGCTACAAGGGCCAACCAAATGTGTTACATTCATTAGACTTTTAACCCAATCACTTTGGAGATGTTTGTGTTTACGAACCACGTGTAACAACCTTTGAAGTGGAAAAACGTGGTAGCAGAGGGGTGCGGGGCTGGGGGTGGGGTGCTTGGATAAGAGAGAGCGTAGAGATGAGAATAGAAACTGACCAGGAGTGTATCCATGCTTCCAGTGATTATTGTGTTTCTATATCCTTTTGAAGAACACAAATTGGTTTTCTTGTTCAAATCCAATGAGATCCAAAAGCTATGAATTCTCTGAAATATGGACTGGCGCTTTTCCCTTCTAAAGCATTCTGTCTACTCTTCTGATGTAAGCTGCAGGCACAGGCTTCATACATATAATCATATCGAGTTTATTCACATTCAAGAAAAAACTGAGCTTTCTTTGGAGAGGACATGCCACTAAGAATTCAGTTTCTGGAGAGAAAAGAAGTTTTTCTGCTTAGTCTCCAATTGCTTTGGGCACGAGCAGATTTCAGCGTGAAAAACTGGGGCAGCTTGTCCGGGTGAGATGGGAAGAGGAGAATGAGAACCACTGGGCACTGAGTGACATTGTGACAACCATCAAATAGCCCCATGCCTAACCCCCCAGGCATAACAAGGGGGGAGGGTTGACACCCACATGCTGATGACCCAGGGCTTCCCCCACAGTCTCAGCACACAGGGGCACCTGTGAGCCAGATAGAGGTGTGCCTGGGAAAGAGCCCTGTCCCTGCATCGCATCTGTGCTGGCAGACGCTCTTGGCCCTAGCAAGACCGGCAGCTGCCACTCTTCCTAGCAGATTAGCATTCTTCCCACCACTGCTCGCTCTCCTTCTTGCCCTCCCTTTTAGGAACCTACTATCTGAAAGTGCTAATTAGTGCAAATGGCCATTAAAGATCCGTGTGTGCCTTGTTCACTGTCTGTCCATCCCACTGGAGTGCAAACCGCTGGGGATGGACCAGGACGGTCCTGTTTGCTTGTATAGTCTCCAAACCTAACAAGACCCCAAGCACGCTGGCACCTTGGTCTCAGACCCCCTAATGTTTGTTGTCCAGCCCATATGCCCCTCAAAGATTTACACAGATTATGTACAAACATAGGTATTTGTAAATCTTTGAGGAGCATATGGCTGGACACACCAGCAAACAGTTCAGTCTCACTCTGTCTTCATCGGCCCTATTTGTAGGAAGATACTGTTTAGGATTCATGCAAAATCTCCATATTCTTGGCTCTGACTTAAGAGAAACAAGATCTCAAAAAGGGGAAAAATTTTTCAAAGGAGGAATTATTGGTTTGGTTTTTCCCTTGGGTTTCCCCCCCACCCCCCCCCACACTCCCCAACAAAGCCTCTCAAGAAATTCAACTTTGTAGTGGAATTAATGATCTTCTTTACTGTGGTCATCACAAGCGGCTTTCCTTTGGCTCCCTTAGAGATCTCTTTCCAAGGGTGCTAACATATCACCCAGTTTTGGATGGTCGTCAATGCATTTTTCTACAGCTGATAAGACAAACCCACAAATATTGTTGTGTATAATTATTATGTTATTTTATTTAACTGGGTACAGTATGCTGCAGTCAACACGAGGGAGCAGACTAAGAAGCATGTCCAGGTCCAGAACCTGCCAATATGGTACTCCCCATGGAAAAGAGACTTAGATGTGGTTAAATTAAGGATTTTGAGATGGGAAGATTGTGCTGGATTACACAAGTGGACCCAGTGTCATCATAAGGGTCCTTCTAAGAGGAAGGCGGAAGATTCAGCAAAGGTGACATGAGGGCAGAAGCAGAGGTGATGATAGATAGATAGATAATAGATAGATAGATGATAGATAGAAATGATAGATAGACGATAGATAATAGGTAGATACATAGATGATAGATAG